TTTTCATTGATCAAACTCATCGCATGCCAAAGACAAACCAATCTATTCATTGAATACTTAACAGACTAAACAAACTCACTGGCTTACTCACAAGTCTCTTCTCCTCCTGTTCTCTCATTCTCACCATCCGTTGTCAATCGATATTATTGCATGGTTTTTTTAAGAAACCTAGGGTTAAATGGTAAATTAAGTATAAAAGGTTTAAGGAGTGAGAGAGACTTACATGTTTGAAAGAGGAGATAGTGAAGTTGAGGATGACCGATGGTGTGTCGCGTCGGTGCGGTTGTCGAGTCGCGTGGTCGGTCGCGCAGCGACGATAGAGGCGGGGAGAAGGACGAGGCACAGTAGAAGGCAGAGACAAGGCGAAAGTGTCATGTCGTGGAGACGCTACGGGAGATCTTACGGTTCTCGACTGAGCTTCGAACGGTGTGAGGCGGTTCTCGGTTGGAAGGACGATGAGGACAACGAGGGGCAAGTAGCGGGGTGGGGCGATGCCAGTCGAAAAGGAGATGACGACGAGAGGGCGTTGCAGAGCGAGCTGAGACGCACAAAGATGAGGGACGTGGAAGGGGATACGTTGCTGGAGAAGGGAGGAGTGCGCGATGATGAAATTTTGGGACTTGATGAGGGTGCGGTGAAGGGATTAGGGATTGAGAGGGTGATGAAATTTTGGTATGAAGTTTTTTTGGCTTTGGTGGGAAACAATTTGGAAAATTTTGGCCGGTGGGATGAATTTTTTAGGCGAGAACGGAGAGAAAAGCCCGCGCCTAAAAAAATTTCCCACCTTTGGATTTAGCCGACAGAATTTCCGTCGCTAAAACACCTTTTAGGGACGGAAATTCCCCCGATGTAAATTTCTGTCGGAAAATATGCGCACGAAAATTTTCCGTCCCAATAGTGAAATTTCCGTCGGGTAAAACAATTTTTTCGTCTTGGAAAAATAGCGACGGAATTCCGTCGTTAAACAAGTCTTAGTAGCGACGGAATTTTTCCGTCCGTAAAGTTCCGTCGTAACAGTTCATTTTTTTAGCAGTGTTATACAAACTATTATTGTACATTTATAATTTCAGATATATAAATTTATCCCAGGGAATTCTTATTATATTGTGATAAATTATTAGAAAGAATATCAAATTATTTTTTCCAGATGTTACCACAATATAGGAATTGGAATATAATTTGATAAGTTATATCATAATGTTAGAGCAAAATCTATTTGCCATTAAACAACAAATTAGACCCCCAGCATGTAAACCGTAATTTTAAATATTATGTAACAATATTAAATGAGTTTTTGTTTTTTTTGGTTATATTGTTCGGGGCAATGATGGAATCGAATTACCAATTTGATTGAGGACTGGTACATGGCATATTAGTAATATATTATTATATATATTATATATATATATAATATATATATAATTATATATAATTATATATATATATATATATTATATATTATATATTATATATATATACTATAATATATGATAGAATAGTAAGATCAAGTCAACAGAGGATCATCTACAATGGCGCTCCAATCATGTGATTTTAGAGGCGATAGGAGGAAATCCCTCTTATGACAATGATACCATAATCTCTCTCTCTCTCTCTCTCTGTCTCTCTCTCTCATCATATATATATATATATACATACTATATATATTATATATATATATATATATATGAGAAAAAGGGTATACTTGGCTACCAAGTACAAATGTTTGTGCTTCGTTACCAAGCATACCCATATTATATATATATATAATATAATATATATATATATATATATATAATAATATATATAATATATATATATAAACACCATATATATATGTTGTACACCACACACAACATACACAACAACACACCACACACACACACACACAAATATATATATATATATATATAATATATATATTATATATATAACAATATATATACTATATATATATATATTATATATATATATTATACATATATATATATAATATACTTATTATATATATATATGTACATATATATATATATGTATATATATATATGTATTAATATATATATATGTATTATATATATGTATATATATTTATATGTATATATAATAGAATATATTATGTATATATTATATTATATATATATATATATATATATATATTATATATAGACCTATATACATATATATAGTATATATAAGTCATATTATATATATATATACGTATCATATATATACGATATGGATATACATATATATTACATATATGATATAATATATATTTATTTTATATACATGTATATATATATACGTATATGTATACGTTTGTATATATCATATATATATATATTAATACTATATATATATATACTATATATATATATATCTTATATATATATATATATATATATTAGATATATATATATATTATATTATATATATTTATATATATAATATTATATAATATATACTATATATATATATATTATTATATATTATATATATATTATATATATTATTATATTATATGTATGTATGTATGTATTACATATATATCTGTTTGTAGGAGAAAATACCAAATAGGCGCAAAATGTAAGTGACAATTAGGAGTTTTGTAGGAGAAAATATAAATCGCTTCTTATGTTGTGTGCGTGACAATTTGGAGTGATGAGTGAATATGATTGTGGAGAGATGGAGAGAATGAAAATGGTGTGTAAATAGGCACAAAATATAAGTGAGAGTGGGTGTGACAATGAATGAATGATTTTCACAAGGAGAGATGAATAAAATCAAGAAGCAAAAAGGAAAATCAAGAATGACAATAAAATTCAAGAAAGTAAAGATGACGTATTCAATTAAAGATATGGGTAATCTAGAATTGAATCTATTTCTTAGAAAATGGTGATTCCCTAGAGGGTTCTAACCTAAAAGCGAATCAAAGAAAATAAAAATGAATAAAAAGAAAAACTAAGCCCAAGAGGGTTCTAGCCTCAAGGTGAATAGTACAAGAAATTAAAATCTAACTGCAAAATAAATTACAAAATCTAAACTACAAACTAAATTACATGAATTAAATGCAAGAAAATAAATCTACTCTATAAGCATGAAATAAATCTAATCTATAAACAAAAAATAAATCTAAGTCAAGAGGGTTCTAGTATCTAAACAAGAAAATAAAATGCAACTACAAGCATGGAAATAAATCTAAACTAATAAGCAATAAAAGAGAAAACAAACCTCCAAAAAATTAATCTTTATATCCATCTTCATCATCCAACGAAGAGAAGAAAAATTTAATGTGGTGAAAATTTTATTTTATTAATTATTACAAAAGCTACAATTTGGAAGGCCTTTTCAATTAAGAGTAGCTCTCCTCTCCAAATAGAGTTACAAAAATTTTCACACCTCTATCCCCTCACTCACTACCCCTATTTATAGTAAACATCAGTGAATAAGAGCCATTGTATTGAAATCTTATCGAAAACAAGTAAATTTCAGCCATTGATCTGTAACATAATGACGTAGGTATCGATACCAGCATCGATGCTGGTATTGATATGGGTATCGATGCTGGCATCGATACCCATATCCCTCCTTTCGTAATTCGCTGATTTCCTCTTTTATTTGGCTTTTGCTTTGGGCTTTGGACTTGGGCTTGGGCTCTTTCATGTATTTGCATATATTCTTCATTTAATTAGTGGGCTTTGTTGAGAGAAGGCTTTTATTTTTTATTAACCTGCAATTAAAGATAAAAACAATTATTAGTAATAAATTTATTCATATAAACTAGATAATGAGGTTATAAATGATACGAGTTGCCGTGCGAGCACCCTTTGGTCGTAGAATTACCAAAAGGTGGGTTGAGAAGAAGACAACTAAAACACAAGACAATTCAGTATGGCGAAGGAAATACCTTCTTCTAGATTATGAATAACAAAAGATTGTAATCTCTCCCTCACAATCTCACTAGTATCGAGAACAACCTCTCAATCCTCTCTAAACCCTGATACAAAGATTAGAATCTCTCTTTGAATCTATCTAATTGTTTAGAAACTCTAAAACAATCCTTTATATAGGTGTATAAACGTGGATGGTAATCTGGTAAATAACCAAGCCCAAAACCAACAGGAATTCATGTGAACAGAAACCAAAACAAACCAGGAAACCATCGATGAGTCGACTCATGACTGAGATGAGTCGACTCGTCCGAAACTAGACAAAACACAAAAACCAGCGATGAGTCGACTCATGATAGGCATTAGTCGACTCAACCTAATGAGTCGACTCATGACTGTTATGAGTCGACTCACGTGCTAAAAACTGGATACTTCGATTCTGCTGCTCGTCGTCTCGTTCCACACTTCCACCTATGTTCCACTTTACTATTTTACACCCCTATTCTCATGCTATCATGAGAATCATCTATCCTCAAGCTCCCATGAGGATCGCTAAGTTTCGAAGAGAAGATGCACCCGTATCATGGGTCCTCTCTTTAAGAACTTGAAGCCTCGTTCAAGTTAGAACTTTTGCTGAGGAAACTCTCGAGCTCCTCCATCTTTTCTGCACCACCTGGCCTTGCTAGGAATCCGGTCTCGACGTCCGATCAGAAACAACTCATTCATCCCGCATCTCGTCGTAGTCACCGTTCGCTCTAAGTTGCAATCCTTTGTTGATGGTTTTTCTGGAAGTCTAATGCACAGCGAGACAAACTTCTTGCTTGCATTCACTAGTCTCTTCGCTCGCGTCACCGTCCCCAAGCTTGTCTCCTTCGGAAGAGATGCCGAACGAAATATGAACTTTACACCATCCTTAGTGAAGGTGTACTTCTGAGCCTGCCTCTCGTAGATCGCATGTCTATCCCATAAGTATGGATTGCCTAGTATAATCTGACAAACATCCAATGGAATGACGTCGTACGTTACCTCGTCAATATACAACTCGTGAAGCGCAAATCTCACAGTGCATTGATCAAATACACTCAGTTTCTCCTCCTTCTGAATCTCACAGGCATGAGTCGACTCAACCTGATGAGTCTACTCATGACTGTTATGAGTCGACTCACGGGCTAAAAACTGGATACTTTGATTTTGCTGCTCGTCCTCTCGTTTCACGCTTCCACATGCGTTCCACTGTACTGTTTTACACCCCTATTCTCATACTATCATGAGAATCATCTATCCTCAAGCTCCCATGAGGATAGCTAAGTTCCGAAGAGAAGATACACTTGTATTAATAAAATTATAATAAAATATGATTATCAAATACCCCCACACCTAAACTTTTGCTAGTCCTCTAGCAAAGAAAGAAAAATGAAAGAAAACCTAACTCACTTTCGCAGGAATCGTGGTTGTATTTAGTGCATTCAATAAGCCTTTAAACCCCTAGGTTACCCTAATGGACGAGTTGTAGTCTCGTGAGAGTTTGTAGTGAATATATCCACAAAATTCGGTCATCTTGCCAAATTAAAGAAGTTAGTAAATAACTAAATTTACTTGATAATTGAAGCTAGTTATTACTCAAGAAAATATATTTATATATAACTCTAAGGTAAATTTCCTAGACAATCTTCTCATTATAGCAATACAAAACCAAGCCAAACTTAGAAATTTAATTTAAAAGTTTTGAAAAGAATATGCTAACTCTTTGTTTAAAATAATATTCAAATTGTTTGATCTAAAATA